AACATCGTGCACTTTCTAATACCAGTGTTCCTTTGATCTGCGGACCCTCGAACGCTACAAGACGTCAGTCCCAACTACAGCCGAGACGATGGAGATTGTATGGCGCTTCACGTGGTTTGGTGAAGCTACAGGACAACATTAATATAAAGAGTGGTCTCCCATGGTCTCACTTCCTAACAGGATGATTCTTTTACATAGTGAGTGAGTGAGTTTAGTTTTACGCCGCACTCAGCAATATTCCAGCTATATGGCGGCGGTCTGTAAATAATCGAGTCTGGACCAGACAATCCAGTGATCAACAGTATGAGTATCTATCTGCGCAATTGGGAACCGATGACATGTGTCAACCAAGTCAGCGAGTCTGACCACCTGCAAGTCTGGTGAATCACTTTGGTGAATCCACAAGTCTGGAGAATCACTTTGGTGAATCCACAAGTCTGGAGAATCACTTTGGTGAATCCACAAGTCTGGAGAATCACTTTGGTGAATCCACAAGTCTGGGTCAAGTGCTGACAAATGAGATGAGTGTATTGACAGTATGGTAGGTGCAAAGTATGCAGGGTATAACACAATAAAGCATCTGAAATATATATTATACATGTGACTGAAGAAAACGTGATCGTAATTTAAATCCTAGGAATACATACTTTGCAAGTAGTGATAATACATGGGTATTGTTAGCGCCAATCAATTGTTGAAATTTTATTTGTGAAGGAAATGTACATAATATGCAGGAATGATAGCGTCTCAGACCATCATGAAATGGACACACTTAACACAAGTGATATTCTGATTCTATGTCCCTAACTACACACAAAGGACATAACCTGTCTTCTCTACTTAAACCTATTTTCCTACATTCCTCTATTAAAAACTTATGACGAGAGCAGCGGAGAGATGAAAGGGCAATACGATCACAGGTATACACGACAGGTAAACTTCAAAGTTTGCCTCATGTTTTATAGAACGGTGCTTAGTTAGTTTATTATACTTATGGAGACCTTCAAACCTGCGATATTAGCTATATCTATGCTTAAAAGATGATATGAACTCACATATAATACTAACACATCCTGATTTCTTCACATTTCAGCAAATCCAAAATCAAACAATAATGTTTTAACCTTTAATGCCCAACAACTCAAGCCTATATTTGCAAGAGACAAATAGGAAGAATAAACTTTCGTAAGAATAACATAATCTTCTTGATACAATAGCCTTTTCCAAAACTTTATAATCTTCACATAACAGTTTACTTCAATTGAATGACACCCTAACTCACCCCGTGCCACAACATTTGGTACAGATCTATGTAAACTTAACACATCCTTACATAAACGATCATGAAGTCTTTCCACTTCAGGTGATGGGTGAAACCCCCAAACCTCAGAACCATAGACAAGAATTGGCCAAAGTTTGACATGAAATATATGACATAACATATGAACTGGTACGTTATGTAAGTTATTGATTTCAGACTTTAAGCACTGGATGACCTTAGTAGTTTGGAGGGCTAAAGTTTTCTGTGCGATATACCACAAGTCAGAACTTGAGATATATTCAACAATATGTGTTTGAGATTCTCACGTCGAGGTATGAGACTGTGTCAGGAACCTGGGCGTCCTTCTCGACTGTGATCTCTCAATGGAGCATCATGTTAGTATGATCTGCAAAGCATGTCATTTTCACCTGAGAAATATTGGCAGCATCAGACATCTCCTGACCACTAACGCCACTCACATGCTGGTCAGAAGCCTAGTCCTATCAAAACTGGACTACTGTAATAGTCTGTTGGTTAACATCTCACAGGAACAGTTCTCCAGACTACAGAGGATACAGAACATGGTGGCAAGGATTGTGTCCAGGACAAAGAAGTCCGCGCGCATAACACCAGTGCTCATCAATTTACATTGGCTCCCTGTACAGGCACGTGTGCAGTTCAAGCTATTGGTATTGGCATACCAATGTTACCATGGATAAGCCCGATCATATCTTGTCGAACTCACACAAGTGTATAAACCGTCCAGAGTCCTTTGTTCTGCAGACAAGCCCCTCTTTCACATTCCAAAGACTAACTTTGAAACGTTTTGGCCGAAGATCTTTCAATGATAATGCTGCAGTTCAATGGAACAAACTCTCAACTGAACGCAAAAAGAACTGAAAACACTCTCGCTTTTCAAGTCTCAGCTAAAAACATATCTCTTCCGACAGTCATACCTGGACTAAAATCTACTGTCTTGTGTTTATGTCCCATTGACAGAGTTAATATTGTAGTATATTTGAAGCGCTATGAGCATACACACAGTGTATGGAGTTGGCGCCATATAAATGAACTCAATATTATTATTTTACTCCCAGGTATTTATAAGTAGGAACAATATCTATTATTCGACCACTGAAAACTTAAGTCTGCCTTTCTTTCTAAACACAATAACTTTACTTTTATCTAAGTTAACCAGCAGCTGCCATTTATCACAATAAGTTGACAACATATCTAATCTCTTTTGGAGACCGTTAACTGCACTGTCCATTATTGCGATATCATCTGCGAACAGAAGCGTAAACAATGGCAGCATACCAATATTAATAGGCCATTAGATTATGCTGTCCAACTATGTCGTTGATGAAAAATGAAAAGAGAATGGGAGACAACTGGCAACCTTGACGAACTCCAAAGTAGCAATCAAAGAAGTGGGTACATCCATTCCCAACAAAAACACAAGATTTTACATCTTCATACATGTATCTTATAAGTTTAGAAATGCGACCCTTAATATTGCCAATCCACAATTTACATAAAGGTCCATTGTGCGAAACTGAGTCAAAGGCGGATTTTAAATCTATGAAGGCACAGCAAAGTCTACCTTTATGCAAGACAAGTACTTATTTATTACAGTGTCTAAGAGAAATAAATCATCTGTGGTTTGAAAACCGGAGTGGCCAAGTTTGTTAGCCTATTGCAAATAATCTTAGGATATATCTTCCCCGACACTTCAAGAAATGTAACTGGTCTGTAATTACCTGGATCATTAGGATCCTCTTTTTTATATTTAGGAAGTGTAACACCCAGCGTCCACACCTTAGGATAAACACCTGTCTGGAGAATTAGGTTATACAACAATCTAAGCATTTCATAACAATCAGGTGGCGCATATTTGTAAAATTCAAGGGGTATACCACTAAAACCCAGGGATTTCCCCCAGCTGCATATCATTTATACAGCTTTCGGAATTTCCTCATATGAAATATTCTTATCAAGATAGTCATTGTCAACTGTATTGTCTATGAGTTCATCATTGATAGAATCAATAAAGTCAAACACAGAAGCATAAAATTCATTTTCACAATCTACTAAGTTTGTTCCCTGAAATAAAGAATAGAAATGTTCAGTCCAACCTGAGGGTGAAATATACTGTTCACACTTTGCTAAGGATCAAATGTTGTGTACTTGTCAATGACTCTTTCCGTGATTTGCAAAATGGTTTATTGGTGCCAAGAAAAACATTTTATGGTTATTCATGTATCAAGTGCATAAGGTTAGATTAAAATGCCTAAAGAGAGATTACCACATTATTTATCCAGTTTTAAGTGGATACAATTTCAAATTATAAACCTACGTTTAAGTAAAGTTGTGATTTTTTGTAATCCTTAGCAAAGTGTGAGTAGTATATTATCACGTTGAAAATTAAAAGATTTGAAATATGACCAAAACAATTTCCTGTCTTTGGATATTAAGGCACTGTTTAAAGTTTGTACAAAATGTTTGAACACATTCACTGAATTCTGTTTGCTCAGTTCTTTATAGGTGAGGTGGGGTGAAATAGGGTTGAACGTCGTACATAAGAATATTTCGCTCATATGACGACGTGCATGCGTGTATGTGGCTGCTTGTACTAGCCCAGACTTAAGCTGGTTTTTATAGTGCTAGCTCACTGAGATACCATGCCGCAGTTTCGCATGAATACCCCTCTCAGACACATTATATTGCCTCAGACCCGACCAGTCCATGACGAGACTAGACTAACAACTAGTCTCTGAAATGACATATTTCACTGAAAAAAAGCACCAGGTAAAAAATAATATATAATGAAAAAGAGCCCTGAGACTTTTTTCATTTTCTGAAGCTGTGGAAATCTAGACTTAACACATATTCTAGACTTGCGTGGGCTTTCTTGGATATATTTGCTTAAGGGTCTGTATTACAGACTAGACAGGGACCAACAAGTCTTTTGGTATAACGCGGCCGGGGATTGAACCCGCGACCTTGCGCTCTTCAGGCGGACGCTCTAACCACAGGCCTACCATACAAACGGTGAAAAAATCATCAAAACTGAACTCATATACACCAAAACAGAAAAAAAATCACCAAAATTGTAAAATAAACCTCCAAAACTGCAACAATATCCTCTAAAACCGAAACAATACATCTGTAATGGAAGACTAATCGTTTGAAATGGAAACAAGAGCGCGCGAGAACGGTTGCCGAGCGTACAAAACGGCAATCACAGCATCCCAACACGGCAGTCATAGCATCCGGAAACGGCATACAAATCGTCAAAGATGGCAGCGAGGGGAGACGAATAGGCTTTGGTACATAATGTTTTTCGTCACTATGAGTCTAATCTTGAAAATCTGATATCAGGATGTAGCGCATCAACTCCCTATTGTAGTAAGCTTCAAACCTTTGTCCATACAGTGTCAGGCTTGCAATTCTACACAATGTGGTCCCTCGTTCGACCGAATAGGATTTGTTGTCAACATGCCGTGCTACTGTTTCTCTTCAGTTTTGTAAATAAAGCGTTCATAGCGTCACATTCAACATTACTATATTTCAGGGATTTAAAAATTTACAAAAACTTTGTTCATTCTCCGTGAATTGCATATCTAAGTGATTAGTTTTACTTTGACTTCCCAACTACACCACGGAGGCGGTCACTTCTAAATATATGACGTCAATGATTCACAATAGTTATGTCTGTTGATTTCACTGTTAGAGTTACGGAATTCACGAAGTAATCGTCTCGCTGCTGCACGTACAGCACGACACTCGTTGTCACACCAGCTACTGCTGTTAAAGTGCTGACAAATCTCCATACAATTATCAGGCCAAACTGGATTCGAAACAACTCATTGGCGTTTGGTGTGGCCAAGGGAGGCAACTCTATAAACAGCTTGCCACAGCTCAGACAACTAGGCCAAGTGTGCCCCTACAGTGTGTATAAAAACATAACAACTAATCATTGATATATATCCTTTAAATTGAAAATTGAAGATCATTCACATCATGCCATATCATAGTGAGACAAGTTGCAGACCACCTGGAACCCCAGCGTATGTGTATCCCAGTGTATCGACTTATCAGTTGCTTTCTCTTTCAATGTGCAGTGTGACAGTCTGAGCGGGCAAACACCCTTACATCCTGGTCATAAAGGGGGCACAACTCTACATGGCAACACATGCCGTGCTTTGTCTTAGCCACATCGACGTCTTTGAAAGGCAATTTGGAAAACAATCAAAATTGATTCTTTTTTAGTGGATAATAAGTTTTTTCTCCTAGTAAATACAACATGTTATCCACCAAAATTGTCATGGAAACACTAAACACACATAGTTTTTGTTTGTTTATGGCCGAAATTGCATAAATATTACAGGTTTTTGACGGAAGTCTGTAAATAATCAACACTTGACGAATGGCTGAACAAAGTCAGTGAACCTGACCACATGATCCCACCAGTCGCCTCATGACAAGCATGGGCTGCTGAAGACACTAACCTGGATCTTCTTAGACCCTAACCAGAATATTCCAGAGGACAATAGGTATTAGCTTCAGAACATTTAACAGATGTTGATGTTATACAACCACAAAAGACGCATTTGAATGTTAGCCTCTTTTTCCATGTAATCAAATTACAATGAAAACAACAGTTATTATAATAAGAATTTATTGAACATTGCCACAATGTAAAATGGAAAACTCACATTTGACTTACTGTACATGTGTAATGTCTCAATAACCGCAATTTCCTTCGTGTATCGGTGTGTACAGATGAACGATTGAATCCCTGTGTCAGCACAGTACAACAATGTATCTTGTGTGAATGGCCTACTGAGCTTAGTGTTAAATCTAACCCCTTTCCTTACCTGTCAGATCAGTTTGCTTTATTTAATATCGAAACAGAAACAATTATTGCACTTCAGCTAACACTACAGCTTACATTTTTCCTTGGAAAGCTTTTCTCTAGCTTCTTGCCTTGGGATTAATCGCTGCTCATGTACAACTTTTCAAAACTATGTCAAACAAACAATCATATGTCACCTGTGCCAGATGGTATTCTGAGAGTGAGTGAGTGAGTTTAGTTTTACGCCGCACTCCGCAATATCCCAGCTATATGGCGGCGGTCTGTAAATAATCGAGTCCAGACCAGACAATCCAGTGATCAACAGCATGAGCATCGATCTGCGCAATTGAGAACCGATGACATGTGTCAACCAAGTCAGCGAAACTGACCACCCGATCCCGTTAGTCGCCTCTTACGACAAGCATAGTCGCCTTTTATGGCAAGCACATGGGTTGCTGAAGACCTATTCTATCCCGGATCTTCACGGGCCGGTATTCTGAGAGCAAAAGGTAGGTTATCATTAATGTAAAATGTTAAAGAATTAGGGCTCTTCCATAAAAGATTACAGGTGAAATGTCTAATCGTCCCTTGAATACCATAAATTCTATAAACTACTATTTAATATAGTTCTGGGTCCAAACTGTTTTGATGAATGTCTGTCGTATGGTGTTTTTAACCCGACCAAAGCATAACAAACAAGACGGCTACATAGGCTGCACATTGAAAATGAATGTTATTCATTACAAGCACATTAACAACTTAAAATAATCCTTTCCTGCAACTTCCGTCCAGGCCAAGCACCACCACCAATACATGTTCAAACAAAAGATTTTTGTGTTGTGGACAGAAGCATAGTTTGACAGGGCAGGCACCTCACACGTGATCATTAGACCAGTCTTTCAGACAATTGGCGCAGTCCTCCGCCTGTTTGGAATTAGCATCACATGTGTCCTTCACCCAGCCCTTAAAACTCTCCTTATCTTCCTTCATCACCAGGTACTGGCCCAGAACATCTTTCGCCTGGAAGAACAACAAACAATAAATTGTTGGAGGTGAGAGGTGAAAAGGAGTGTAATGTTGCTGTCAAGTAACAGATTATCAGTTTTTAGTGCTACCAACTGAGAGAGAGCATGCCGCAGTTTAGCATGCATACCTACATGAGTAGAAATATCATGTTTTACTTATCCTAACTCACTTATTGATACTACATAACTAATTCACAGAAATGTTGAACATGATTAAGATGTCTTCGACTGGCCTGGATACTGAAGAGAAAAAAGTGTATAAAGTGATTTTAAATTCAACACTTTGTTTTGAACATTTCACCTGTAACCTTTTATGGAAGAACCCTAATTCTTTAACATTTTACATTAATGATAACCTACCTTATCTCTTCAGATAAGTGTCAGCCTATTTTCCTTTTCGATACTGACGAGAGAGACATACCAGCCTAGTTCATACTTAGGAATTAAATGTATTAACTGTACCTGTAGCTCTACACAGGTTACCATCGACCCGTGAAAATCCGGGTTAGAATTGATCTTCAGTAACCCATGCTTGTCGTAAGAGGCGACTAACGGGATCGGGTGTCAGGCTCGCATACTTGGTTGACACGCATCATCGGTTCCCAATTGCGCAGATCGATGCTCATGCTGTTGATCACTGTCAAATGTTATTGTGACATGGTTTGTTGATAAATGAAATTTTGTATCTGAACCAGAGAAAGAGAGTGTTAAAATGGTCAATGTAACGTAATCAAGCAGTTGTTCAAATCGCACGAAATCTGTAACAAGCATGACATATTTGAAAAAGAAATGGCCTGCAATATTCACTTACAATGGCAGACAATTAGATGCTTGTCAATTCTACTCTTAAGTCTTAAGAAGTGCATTAGTCAGAAAAACACACCTTTATTCATCATTCTGGAACATGTCAACATGTCACGCCTTGGGGAATATGGCTACAGGTATGCTTCATTTGGAACCTCGCAGCATGATCTTGCTCGTTAGGTCAACGTCCATGGAAACACAATTTGGCACATATGGTGATGTTTTCAGCAAAACAGTCAAGTTATGGACCGTCCTTGTAGCTATATAGTGGTCAGCCACAATAACAGCCCCACATTAAGACCAGTGGATTCAAACCATGCACCTCCAACAGTCTGTACAATGCCTGGCAATATTGGTACATCTGCGAGACCTTGCTTGTGAACCCTTTTTTGTGTTGTGGCTTATTTGCATGTGCCAGGAACACTGTCCTTACAAACTGAATGTTACCATAACTTGACACACTTGTCTTTTTATGTCATAAGATATTTCATTTGCAGCAGTAAAAGTTTAATGCTGATTATGTTTGTTGTTTGAGTGTCACAATAACTCTTGCCTTTATCTCTACAGATACAGACCAATATTTTTGATGAGTAATCAATTTATTAGAATATCTGACACCTTTTTTGTCAGTAGACTGAAATTCTTTCCATCAATGACAGTTATGTCTGGTTCTTCCGTCTTCTGAATTGTAAGACATCGTAAAGTGTAATCTCACCTTATCAAACCCCGCCTCGTTGAGTCTTTCACCAAGAACCGGTCCTATTCCTGGTAGAGCAGTTACAGGCTTATCTCCCATTGGCTCTGACACAAAGTTCTGTTGTTTCTGAGTTGTGGACGACATCCTGACTTGTTATCAGATGACTTTGTTCAAATCATTTGTTTTATTGTCACTCTTTTTCGAAAATTGAAATGATAGCCTTCATTTTTCTAAAAAGACATGTTACATCTGATACTGTTCATGGTATCGATGAACTAATTTAGTTGTGACAAAATAAGAGTCTTTTTATCGTAATGCTGACACTTTGTTTCGTGGCCAGTAAATAGAACGTCTTGGGTAAGACAAACCAGTGACTGATATTGTGAGCAATGATCCACACTGTCTTGGTACGATAGCACAGTGGACCATGTCAGCGTGTCTGACCAGCTGATCCATACTGTCGGGGAACGATACCACAGTGGACCATGTCAGCAGTGGACCATGTCAGCAATGATCCACACTGTCAGGGTCTGATACCACCACCTGATACGATGCCACACACTGTCGGGGTATGATACCACAGTGGACCATGTCAGCAAGATCCACAATAATACAGACTATGTCGGGGATATGATGCCACAGTGGACAGTGGATCCACATGTCATGCGTGACCACCTGATCACTGTGACCACCCATGATCCACACTGTCGGGGTACGATACCACAGTGGACCATGTCAGCGTGTCTGACCACTTGATCCACACTGTCGGGGAACGATACCACAGTGGACCATGTTAGCAATAATACACACTGTCGGGGTACGACAGCACAGTGGACCATGTCAGCGTCTCTGACCACCTGATCCACACTGTCGGGGTATGATACCACAGTGGACCATGTCAGCGTGTCTGACCACTTGATCCACACTGTCGGGGTATGATACAACAGTGGACCATGTTGGCAATAATACACATTGTCGGGGTATGATACCACAGTGGACCATGTCAGCGTCTCTGACCACTTGATCCACACTGTCCGGGTACGATATCACAGTGGACCTGTCAGCGTGTCTGACCAGCCGATCCATGAAGTCCCGTATTTCTACGACAACCATGAGCGGGTATTAATTCCTGGATGTAACGCTATATAAATACCAACATTATTTTTTACAGATTAAAGATAGTATGCAGAAGAGAGGGTTCGGGTGATCCTGGCACAGTCAGGCTGGTAAGGCTCATCATCAGCTCAGGGCCCTCGCCCCCTCTACACGCAGCCCAGACAGCGAATGGGACTTCTCCCAGGAAACGCTGCCTAGTCGAACCCACCAAGAACTTTCCGGAGAATATGAAGGCTCCCCAACACTGCAGCCTTCTGCATTACCCAGAGTGTCAGAAGGGCTGTACTCCCGGTGAAGAACCCGGGCACTCTCTTTATCTGCGCCAAGAGATCAGGAGGTACCAAACCAAGGGCACCGAGAACAATGGTGAGCCTGACGACAGTGTACTTGGGATGCAAGCGAGACATTTCAAAGGCGAGGTCCGCATATTTATCATGCTTTTCCTGAATCTTGCCAATCACATTGCTGTCAAAAGGGACAGAAAATTCAATGAAATAAATAAATTCATTGGCTTTATCAAAAAGGACAAGATCAGGTTTGTTAGCTGGAATTCTTCTGAGGCTGTATATGGGCTTATTCCAGAGAAGTTTGAAAGCATCATTTTCCATGACGCCCTGGACATGTTCAGGGTCGTACCATGGATGGACCTCGGAGTCAAAGCCACAGGCATGGCGAAGACGGTAGTAAAAGCAACGAGCCATGCCATCATGTCGTTTAAGATATGCTGTTTGTGCCAAGGAAGGGCATCCACTGACAAGGTGTTGGACAGTCTCTGTAAATTCATTACACAGTCGGCATTTCATGTTTATATTTTCCTTAAGAATCACATTTAGGCGATTACGAGTGGGAAGTGACTGGTCCTGAGCAGCAAAAAGGTAAGCCCTCAGGTTCACATTTAAGACCAGCCGACTTCATCCAGGCGAAGGAATCGGTGGGATTGCTATTCTGTTCCACACACTGCATGTACACAGGATGCAATGGCTTCTCAGAAAGCTTCTCCACAAAAGATCCTCTCTGGTCCACTTGGTGAAGGACTTCACCTGGTTTACCCCCATCGCTGTGCCGTCCAGCAGTACATCGCCATCAACAAAATCAACCTTATTAACCAGCTCGGGATGCTGGGGGCCTATTCTAACACCAGCATCCCTAATTGGGGAAAACATTATCAGATACAACACTCAGCATCAGTCGCCCTGCACCTTGACAAGGCGGTAGCCTGTCTCATAATCCCTGAATCATATTATTTTGCCTTACGTTCAGCCCACTTAATAATGCAACAGCCCAATATCAAGCAAGTCTTGATTTACCTCAGGGTCAGAATCTCCCAGTTTACTAGGGCTTCTTTTCAGTTTAAACACGGTTATGTGTTTCTTTCAAAGTAATGTTTTCAGAGATTAAGCCTTAGATTTTTTTGTTTTCTGCAAGGATTGACTTTCAACAGAAAACACCCTTTTGGTTTTGGAAAACATGGGGATAATTATCATCTTCGAAGCACTTTTGGGAACAGACCACCACCACAACAAGAATATCAAATTCTAAGCATTACTAATCATCCGTAGACAATGATCCATTGTGATTCATCAATCTAATCTAAAATACCCTTTACAATTTATGAATACTAATGAGTGAATTTTTATCAATGCTGTGATATTTCTGTATGTATGTATGTTGTCAACGCGTAGATATGGTGCGTCGACTGGGGAATAGTCATAATTATGTGTGTATGTATGTATGTATGTATGTATGTATGTATGTATGTATGTATGTATGTATGTATGTATGTATGTATGTATGTATGTATGTATGTATGTATGTATGTATGTATGTATGTATGTATGTATGTATGTATGTATGTATGTATGTATGTATGTATGTATGTATGTATACGATGAAGTGTACGTACACGAAGACGAAGGCATAGTTGAGTTCAAACTTCTTTAGTTGCTTACACAAGACACGACAAACGGGTATACATGAATGAGGTGAGCGGAGTTCCAGCTGGAATACCGGACTGCTTGACAATATAGATGTGAGCATATATACAGTTTTTGACAACAATGGACAGACGAAGACTCAACAATGGACAGATAGAGAAACAATAGCACTTCCTTGAAGCAGTTGACGTGATGGCAGGCACGACCAAGGGGGATGACCAATTAGGACATAAATGCCATATACAGTAATTAATGAAAGTGACAGCATGGTACAGGGTGACTGACAAGACAATGTACAATGCGGTAGTGATCAGGATTAAAAATGCAGATTAAATAATCATAATTAAGTCTCAAATGGCTTGGCTACATAGTTTTTGGTCTTTAGAAATATTTGGACGATGGCAGTCCTGAATTAGCCACTATAACAGTATGTGTTAGATGATATGGTAGATGTGTGTTTTGGTTGTAGCTGTCCACATTAATGTGCTCCTGGACATAGTTGCGAGAACGGATTGTAATTTCAGACGTGTTGGCCTGTTGATGATTTAGTTTTATTATCCGTGCAAATATCACCTCTCTGGACAAGTGATATAACTTAAACTTTAAAAACATGTTCAATTGGATTTTAATAACAAAATGAAGATCAATGATATTGGTTAATTTTCTTTCCTAATTAGCCCCACATCAGGGGCCCATATCTCAGATCATGTCCAATATGACTACTTCAACAAAATAACTACATTTTACTATATATGAATCGGATTAACAGACTAGTGGCAATTTCTGTCGCTGGCAACATAACAGCTTATATATTCTTCGTCAGACAGTGTATAGAGCTCTTTGACCAGGAAAACCTGGAGTAGGGCTCCCAGGAGTTTACATTGTCATTCACTAAAATCCCTGCCCGAATGATTTTGATGTAATTCTATTCATTTGAATTGTTTGTTATGCCCAGTATATTTATCAAAATTTTAAATTTTATCGTATTATTCTTCAATCATGTCTGTTGACATTTGAAAAGATTTCGCACATAATTTTCGACTTTCAATATCTATGAACAAGACAAGTTGAAACGTGGGAAAGGTGAGAGATCAACCAAATATAAGCGAGTGATCAGCTTCTGATAATGTTAAGGGTGAGTGATACGCGCAACAGTGGAGCAAAACATGGAAATATTCACTAGACACGTGATTTGTTAGGTTGTTGAATCATCCGTGGCTGGTTACGTGGCAAACTATACAGTTTGACTGGCTTCTGGACTGCTGTCAAATCGTTGAAACAGAGAGGAGCTGATGTATCTTCAAGCACTTACTTAAACGGACTTTCTGAAAAATGCATATCTTACCTTTTACTTGGTTTAATGACCAACGACGTATGTACACACATCCGGGTGCTTGGGTAATTAAGGAGGGCAGTGCGCAAGCGCAAATATAGCTCAAGTGTGAGATTTCAAGTGATTGTGCTATACCGAGACATTGTTCAGCGAATGTTCAGTCACGTCTTCTGTAGGTTGAGCCCTTAAAAATAAACCCCAGTCATCAGTGCATTGAAGAAGACATATGGTCGTGGTACTCCTCCACACATAATAAGATCTGACAAACTACATAACTACATTTTACTATATATGTCTCGGATTATCAGGCTAGTGGTCATTTCTGTCCCAGGCAATATAACAGATACAAAAGTGCACGTATCATATATTCTTCGTCTAACTTTCGAGATCGTTGAACGAGACACGTTGAATGGGGGGAAAGGTGAGATATCTGCCAGGTATGTGCGAGTGATCAGCTTCTGATAACTTTCGGTTGAGCGAAATGCGCAGTGTGTGTGTACGTGCGTGCGTGCGCGCGCGCACACACACAGAGAGTTATTTTTCACCTGTTTTCATCAGAGTTTCAATGGCCATTTAATAAACTTTGATGACACAGTGGGTGCGCAGAATGCTGCGTAAAATGACGAGCCTGAATAGGAGATTGTGCATCTTTAAGAGGTAACTTAAACGGACTACCTCATGTTCCTCGCACTAACTGATTGTTTAATGATGTATAATCATTTCTTACCTTTTTCTTAGTTTGGTGGCGCAAAGACGTATATTTACACACACAACCCGGTGTTTGGTAACAAAGGAAGCATTGCTCAAGCGCAAGATGACACTAGATAGCTGAGGCATGACATGAGAGAGATAAACAAGGGGGTGGGGAGGTGTGTGTGTGTGTGTGTGGGGGTCCGCAATATCTTTCTCTATGGGTCTCTCTATGGGTCTGTTCAAACGTGTTTGTTCCTAGACACGCTATAGATACCATATCTGTACTGTAGCAAAAATCCCCACAGGTTTGTTTACACAACCGATTACCTTCAGTATGTGATTCGCGAATTATCTATTTTTAGCGCCGATACCACAACCTGCGGGAGGAACGGGGAGGAAGAAAGTTGCCAACTTTGTCAGAATCATGATACACGTTCTCAATAAGGTGCTAAACGTCTGAGGCCTGAGTCATACTGCGCATACCTCCAACATCAGGTTGATACACCGTGACACACCGTGTTATAACTGGTATGTTGACACACCGTGTTATAACTGGGATGTTGAAACACCGTGTTATAACTGGGAAGTTGACACACCGTGATATAACAGGGAGGTTGACACACCGTGTTATAACTGAAAGGTTGACACACCGTGTTATAACTGGGAGGTTGACACACCGTGTTATAACTGGGAGGTTCACCCACCGTGCTATAACTGGGAGGTTCACCCACCGTCCTATAACTGAGAGGTTGACACACCGTGTAATAACTCGGATGTTCACACACCGTGTTATATCTGGGAGGTTGACACACTGTGTTATAACTGGGATGTTCACACACCGTGCTATAACTGGGATGTTGACACACCAAGTTATAACTGGGAGGTTCACCCACCGTGCTATAACTGGGATGTTGACACACCAAGTTATAACTGGGAGACACTTTATAAAGTGTTATAACTGGAAGGTTGACACATCGTGTTCTAATTGGGAGGTTGACAAACTGTGTTATAACCGGGATGTTGACACACTGTACTCTAACTGGGGTGTTCACACACCGTGCAATAACTGGGATGTTCACACACCAAGTTATAACTGGGAGACTCTTTATAAAGTGTTATAACTGGAAGGTTGACACATCGTGTTCTAATTGGGAGGTTGACACACCGAGTTATAACTGGGATGTTTACACACCATGTTATAACTGGGAGGTTGACACACTGTGTTATAACTGGGAGGTTGACACACCGTGCAATAACTGGGAGGTTCACACACCAAGTTATAACTGGGAGACTCTTTATAACTGGGATGTTGACACACCATGTTATAACTGGGAGGTTGACACACCGTGCAATAACTGGGAGGTTCACACACAAAGTTATAACTGGGAGACTCTTTATAACTGGGATGTTGACACACCATGTTATAACTGGGAGGTTGACACACTGTGTTATAACTGGGAGGTTGACACACCGTGCAATAACTGGGAGGTTCACACACAAAGTTATAACTGGGAGACTCTTATAACTGGGATGTTGACACACCATGTTATAACTGGGAGGTTGACACACTGTGTTATAACTGGGAGGTTGACACACCGTGCAATAACTGAGAGGTTCACACACAAAGTTATAACTGGGAGACTCTTTATAACGTGTTACAACAGGGAGGTTGACATACCGTGTTATAACTGAGAAGTTGACACACCGTGTTATAACTGGGAGGTTGACACACCGTCTTATAACAAAGAGGTTGACACCCCGTCTTATAATTGATAAGCTGACACACTGTGTTATAACTGGAGGATGACACATCGTGTTATAACTGTGATATTGACAAACCGTGATATAACATGGAGGTTGACGCAGTGTGATATAACTGAGAGGTTGACACACCGTGTTATAACTGAGAGGTTGACACACCTTGTTATAACTGGGATGTTACAACATCGAGTTATAACTTGGATGTTGACACACCGTGTTATAATTGGGATGTTGACACACTGTGTTGTAACTGGGAGGTTGACACACCGTGTTATAACTGGGATGTTGACACACTGTGTTATAACTGGGATGTTGACACACCGTATTATAACTGGGAGGTTGACACACTGTGTTGTAACTGGGAGTTTGACACACCGTGTTATAACTGGGAGGTTGACACACCGTGTTATAACTGGGAGGTTGACACACCGTGTTGTAACTGGGAGTTTGACACACCGTGTTATAACTGGGAGGTTGACACACTGTGTTGTAACTGGGAGGTTGACACACCGTGTTATAACTGGGATGTTGACACACTGTGTTATAACTGGGATGTTGACACACCGTGTTATAACTGGGAGGTTGACACACTGTGTTGTAACTGGGAGTTTGACACACCGTGTTATAACTGGGAGGTTGAAACACCGTGTTATAACTGGGAGGTTGACGCATCGTGTTGTAACTGGGAGGTTGACACACCGAGTTATTACTGGGATATTGGCACACCGTGTTATAACTGGGAGGTTGACACACCGTGTTATAACTGGGAGGTTGACACACCGTGTTATAACTGAGAGGTTGACACACCGTATTATAACTGGGAGGTTGACACACCGTGTTGTAACTGGGAGGTTGACACACCGAGTTGTAATTTGGAGGTTGACACACTGTGTTGTAACTGGGAGTTTGACACACCGTATTATAACTGGGAGGTTGACACACCAAGTTATAACTGGGAGACTCTATATAACGTGTTGAAAACCAATCTCATGACTCATTCACTCAGACGAATTGAATCCACAAACAGACACTGTCATAAATGATGATTTACAAGAGTTGCTGTTCATCATCCGAGGTCTAAATGAGGAAATGTGTTCATAGGTTATAATCTGTAATCGTTTTATTTGTTAAAGGAATTGACACATAAGGGTAATGTAGAACGTTGCCATGAGCAACTGTTGTTTTCTTATTACAGCGCTTACCATGGTTACATGCACCCTGCTTCATAACACATCTTTGTTACGATGTCTAAATATCACATACTTTGTTATGTTAGGACCGAATGTAAGTGGCCATTACTGAGCCCTGTCTTCCAGCTTAATTTACATATTTAGGATTATCTTCCACACTTGAAGAAGCAACCGCAGCCGAGCAACAAGTGTGACCATATTTAACCGTGAATAACATAAATCCTTCATGTATATGGTGGCGCGTGGTCCTGTGCTTAAAGCTCAGGTCACAAATCGGTGAAGTTAAGCAGCGTCGAGCTCGGAGAGTCCTTGGATGGGTGACCGTGTTTGGCAGCTTGACTCCTGAGAGTTTCTAGGACTTGAGTCCTGCCCCACAACGAAGCACATGTGACACATGTGGTCTCACCTTAGGCAAGTGAGTTTGTTCAAAATTGTCTCTGTTCACCCAGCAGGAAAATGGGTACCCGGTGGAAAAAAGTCATACGACTATAACCTTCTAGCGCCTAACAGGCAGCTTGGGTTATCCGGGGTAATAATGGCCTTGATTGTTAGCGCTATAAGCATACCTAGTGTGGAGTTTGGCGCTATATAAATGGACACATTATTATTATTATTATCATTATATGAAATAGGAACAGTACCAGGACAGTTCCCTGGCGTACCGAGGTGGTGATAGGTTGTTCAGAGCAGCGAATTCCATTTACTACTACACAGAACTTGTTTTCTTTCAGGAGGGACGTACTTTATGCTAGACTGGAGATTACACCGTACAAAAAAACGTCAATACGAATTCAAAACTAGATAGGCACTCTAATCAAATCATTACAGAAATGGACATAATAGGCGGATCAAAAACATTTTTTGTGTCCAATATTTTGACACATCAATGAATAACTCAGCACAATTTCAAGACATTACATGAAAGTTTGCAGTCCATTCAGACTCTTGACTTGAGTATCTAGTGTGACCACCACGAGCGGCAATAACTGGAGCACAGCGTCTATGCATGGAGTGCAGCAATCGATTGAAGAAGGCCATTGACACCTGGAAACACGTGCACACTCTGAGAAAGGCCTGGCGCAATAAATCGGCTGTGTTCGGCCGTGGTATGACATTATTCAGTCTCCCTCTGAATTTCATCCCAAAGATGTTCAATTGGGATTAAATCAGGGCTAAGGGCTGGCCACTGCATAATATTGACACCGTTGTGCTGTAGAAAGTTCCGTGTAGCTCTGGCAGTATGGGCCCAGGCGTTATCATGCTGGAAAATGTTGTTCCGGTGACGTGCGAAATGTAGTATGACATGGGATCTGAGAGCTCGGTCGATGTAGCGCAAGCAGTGATGCCGCCTCTTCTCCCTGGACCAAGGTTCTGGAACACCACAT